AACTATTACACCAAGATCCCTTTCCTTCATAACACTGTTAAGGTTATTCCTATCCAAATTATAATCATAATTCAAATTGTGATAACCCACGTGCACTATCTTGCATTTATTTTAATTAAAACCCATCTGCCATTTACTTTCCCAACTTACTAAATGATCTAAATCAGCAGCATCCTCTTCACAGTTAGAAACATTCAAGACCTTGATATCATCTGCAAATTTAAGTAATTTATTGACTATTCCTTCATCTATATCATTGATGTCAATCAAAATAAGCAAAGGTCCTAAGACTGAGCCCTGAGGTACCCCACTTGTGACATTAATCCAGTTTGACTGAACTCCATTTGTTACAACCCTCTGCTTTCTTCCATCCAACCAATCTTCTATTCAATTTGTTAACTTAACCCCCACACCTGTAGAGATAATTTTTTTACAAGCCTTTTATGTGACACCTTGTCAAATGATTTTTGAAAATCCAGATCACCAAATCTACACCCTTACCCTCATCTATGTAAGCAGTAACCTTTTCAGTGAATCTCAAAAGATTTGTAAGGCAAGATTTTCCCCCAGTGAAACCATGTTGACTATCCAATAAAATTCTAAACTTTGTTAATTGACTTTGGACAAGAGACTATTTGTTCCTTCAAGGCTGCCATTTTTACACCTACTCCTGAAATGTAAAAATATAAATTTTAAGCCCACTCTTTATTTTTCAGCAGTTCATTTATTCTCCTCATAAGGTCTTATAATTTTTGTTATATTTGTTATAATGTGCTGACCCCCTATTACTGCCTACCAATATTTCATGAGCTGATCATCCTGTTCTGAACATGTCATAACTAGAGCCTAGTCTGTCTTTTCCAAATCTTAAGCTTGTTGTTTGTGTCATCTAAACCTGTTGGCTTTAGGATATAGTCCAAATAAATTGGAGGCCTTTATCTATTGATCCCATGGATAATCTTGTAAATCTCAGCAAGATCCCTCTAAGACTTCTTTTCTTAAGAAAAAACAAGTTAACAGATCTTAACTTTTACATCCTCAGAATCATCTTAGTAGCTCTTCTCTGAACCCCTTACAATGAGTTGCTATCATTTATTTGATAAGGATATCAAAATTGTACACTATAAATGTATTCCTAGTAAGGACTAACCAATGATTTGTATAAAAAAGATTATTAGTTTTCACTTTTACCACTAGCAAAGGAACACTAATATAAGATTGGTCAGAGTAACTGGAAAATGGAACATAATTCAACTCGTCAACAAAGACACAAGAAGGCATTTGATAGCATAACTCAACAGTGATTGTTAAATAAACTGAAAGCATATTGTGTAGAAGGAAAATTAGAAAAATAGCTAACAGATTTTATACAAAATAGAGTATAGAGTATTATGTCTATGATAAATCATTAAAATGGTCACCTGTGTTGAGCAATGTATGTCAGTATATGTTCTAGGCCATATAATTTTCTTAGTTTATATAAAAAAAAATTCATCAGGTCAATAGATACTGTTATTTACAGATGACAGTTAAGACTTACAAATATGTGCAGAATGATCTTGAGTATGCCATTCTATTTCTTACTGATTGGTCATCTTAATTGCAGCTACTGTTTAATAATTCACAATGTAAATGTTTTTGCTATAATACGAACATTCAGTGTGGAAACTAGAAAATGAATACTTTCCTCACTCCATTTTTATATCAATTTTAGCTGCGCAATAAAGCCTGAGCATTTTTTATTTTTTTTACAATTTGCTTAAGTTTTCAAATCATATAGCCATGATTTGTATTAAAGTAAACTGAAGTATAAGCCTCATTCAAGGATTATTTGGTTATCTTAATGAAAAAGTTATTATTTGTAAGACCTATCTTGGAAAACTCTAGTTCAGAGTGGAATTCTTATGAAAAGGAAAATAAATGTAAAATTTAAAACATCCAGAAATGTTCAAATTATTACCTAGTGTGAAGTCACAGTCTTGCAAGGATAGAATGCAAAAGCTGAAGTTACCATTCTAAGAATATAGAAGACAGAGAAGGATATGTGTAAATAGCTTTTGAGATAAATAATCTCTTAAAACCTAATAAGGTAAGACTATTTATTGGATGGTTAGTCTTGAAATATAAGTTAACATTGAAATGCTTGTTTTTTATATTTTACCTCAAGTTTGTAATAAAAGTAGAATATTGTTTAATGTTGGTCTTTCATTAAGCTGGTTCTTTTAAATTAATTGGTGAGAATAAAGCCAAGGCCTGACCCAAATGATAACAGATTAGTTAATTTTTTCCTTAACCTACAATTAATGTCAACCAAATTACAGTCATTCTTCTAGCTTTACCTAAGTTTACAAATAACATTTTCAATTTCAACAGATTTATCCACTAATGATATTGTGACTAACATACGAATAAAGTTTTACAATTTCAAAGCTAATTGTTTTACTGAATATATGTGATAACTAATACTGATTCAAATACTTCACTGAGTGACTGGCACACTACCAACTGAAAACTGACTCAATACATCAGTGATTCTTATATCTATAATGTAGCCTTGTTGCTAGACACTTTACAAAGTCGCTGATTCCAAACAGGACTACTTTTATAAACATACTTGACATCACTCACTGTATAGCTAACATTTAAGTTAAAACCGTAAATATATTGCTTATCACAAAATGATCAAGTGTGGGCTTGACTTATGTAGATTTTCAGAAAGGTTTTGATAACATACCACACAAAATATTAGCTAAGAATATCTCTTTGGTAGCAGTTGGAGAAGACTGGGTTAATTGGATTGTACATGTAGGGTTTTTGTATGGAAAAAAGCAAAAAATTGTTATTGGAGTTGAGTCGAACAAGGCAGAACCTTGTTTGGAGTGCTTTAAGGGGTCAATGCTTGGTTTTATGCATTCTCTTGCTTACATTAATGATAGGAGCATAATTAACAGTGTTACGACAGCGGAAGTCACATGACGCTGGGAGCATGTGTGCTGGAGTTTCTAGAAAGATCGTGACTCGGGCAACCTCACGAATGTCCCAGCATTTGCTAGATGCCCTCTTTTTTTAGTATATAAGCTGGAGATAGACTGAAAAGAAATAAATTGAGTCAAGCAAGCATTAGGCACCGTGAGTGAAGTGTATGAATCACTGTGATTTATAGTGTGTTCATAAAAGTATATAAGTTTAAAGTGACTGTGGAAATTCTGTGTATTACAAAGTTGTATCGAGAAAGAATAAACTAGTTTTAATTAAGAAAGGACTTGTATCGCTGAAGTTTCTCGGAAAGAATTTCTACAGGAAATTAACAAATAAGCAGAGACGTAACAAGTTTGTGTCAAAAGTGGGATTGAAAGAAAAAAAAATGGAAACGAGAAGTGGCAAATCAAACTACGACTTAGCAGATTTGATGGCAGCAATACAAGAACAGCAAAAGAAACCAGAAGAACATGAAAATAAGCAAGAAAAGAAACAAGAAGAGAGACAATAGCAGTGGCAAGAAAACCTGCAACAGTGGCAGTTCGAACAGCAAAATAAACAAGAGAGATTACAGCAGTTGTTGGAGGAAAAAGAAAAGAAACAAGAAGAACGTGAAAAGAATCAAGAAGAGAGACAACAACAGTGGCAAGAAAACCTGCACCAGTGGCAGCTCCAACAGCAAAATAAACAAGGGAGATTACAGTAGTTGTTGGAGGAAAAAGAAAGGAAACCAGAAGAACGAGAAAATAAACAAGAAGAGAGACTACAGCAGTGGTAAGAAAACCAGCACCAGTGACAACTGGAACAAGAAAAGAAACAGGAAGAAAGTCTCCAACAGTTGAGGGAAAGCCAGAGTACACAAATGGAAAACATTAGTAAATTTCAAGGTGAATTAAATACATTAAAGGATGATTTACCGTCTTTTACACAGGAAGGATATATTAGCCATGGGTCTAATCAGCCCCAGACAACAGGAAGTCCTTATCAGACCCCACAGCTAAACCCTAAAGCAGACATCTTCAGTCCTGCCAGAAGTCACATTCCAGACATGAGTGTTAGTAATAGGGTTGATCTAGTACGAAGGAAGCCACAGGAATTTGATGGGAAGGCACCATGGGAAGCATATAGATCACAATTTGAGCTCGTGGAAGAAATGAATGGATGGACCAAGGAGCAGAAAGCAGTGTACCTGGCAATGAGCTTGAAGGGACAACCACTGCAAATACTCTTGAATTCGAATCCTACGTTAAGTCCAACACAGAGGTACCAAGGTTGGTACAGTCATCGGTATTCAAGGCCAGAAGAGGGCAGCTTTTGGAGAAGTTTGAGGGACTTTGCTGGCACTGTAACAAACCTCGGCTGCACAGAATAAGCACAGGTATCACCGTCCAATAAAGATCCCTCCAAGGAGAATAGCTCCGGCAAAGCGACAAGAGATAGAGAAGGTCAAGGATGGCCTAACTGAAGAAGGGATAGTCGAGAAATCAGCTCCCATCCTGTTACTCCAGAAGAAGGATGAGACCCAACGTTGCTGTGTGTACTTCAGGGCTCTTAACAGTATAACTGAAAAGGACTCATACCCACTGCCAAAAATTGATGATACTCTTGATGCCCTAAGTGGAGCCAGGTGGTTTTCAACTTTGGACTTAAAGTCGTGTTTCCATCAAGTGAAAATGGCTGAAGTAGATAAACTTAAGGCTGCATTTAGTTATGGCCAAGGTCTCTGGCAATACCACGTGATGCCATTCGGGCTTAGCAATGCTCCAGCGACATTTGAGAGGCTGATGGAAAGAGCACTGGAAGGCCTACAATGAAGAATAACCCTAGTGTACCTGGATGATGTCATTGTATTTGCAACAACGTTTGATGAGGAAGTATTCAAGCGTTTGAAAGCAGCAAACCTCAAACTCCATCCCAAGAAAT